GCAGGGTCGGGTCTAAAAGTGGCCAACGGCACTGCAGCTGTTGAGTTTTATACACATGTCTGATTTACCTCTAAACTATACCCAGATAAGCATGCTGTACAAGTATCAGATGAAGTGCAGGTATAACAATTCTCAACTTCACAAGCTATGATAATTTATAATCAATTTTTTACAATAACATAATTTATCTTCAATACTATAATATTAGCCTTCGTCACAATTATTTACATTATTTTCATCTTCTCCTTATCCACTATCATCGCAGACTGAACATTAGACAGAATTTGCATTTTAACACTACAGACAATTAGATGGACAAGTAGAACATAAGAAATTTTTTAAGCAGAATCCAGATTAGCATTATGTGCACTAAGAAGCAGTACAAACTAAACAACCAGATGTACAACCCACACATTACTTATTTTCTAAACTGTAATTTTAAACACAGGAAGTACATTCATCTTTTGTGCATGCAGCACAATTTGAAGAACAGCCAAAACATTTATCACCTTCAAGATAATAATTATTATTGCACTTTTGACAAGAAGTCTCACTTGTGCATTCCTTACAAGATTGATTGCATATGGTGCATTATTGCGATTGCAAATAATAACCCGTTTTGCATTAAAAACACTCAGTACTTGAACACGACTCACAATTATCTTTGCATTTAACACAATTAGTTTGATCAACATAATGTTAGGGTTGGCATTCAAGGCAAGATGTAGCATTGCAGGATACGCAATTGGCATTACACTATAAACAATTTTTCTCTTTGGCATAATAACCAGTTTTGCAAGACGAACACTCTTGCACTGTGCAACTCAAACAATTTGAATTACAATTCACACACTATTTTGAGTTTGGATCCAAATAATACATTCTATCACATTGTTGACATTCTTATTGTGTACATTTTGTACATCCAGTTTAACATAAGACACAACTATTTTAGTAAACTTAATATGGACCTGCACATTAATTACATGTAGTTGATGTACATGATAAACAATTGGTTTAACATTTTTCACATAAGTACCCATTAATGTAATATCCAGTCTGACAATTCGTACATTTTTCTGAAGTACATGATAAACAATTATCGAGGCATGATGGTGAACATACAGAATTCTACTTATCAAAGAAAAATCCCGATTTGCAGGATTCACAACTTGCTTCTCACTCACATTTCTAGCAATTTTGCATACATTATGGGCAATTTTATCCATTTATATAATATCCAGTTTAACATTAATTGCATTAAGATGAAGTGCATTATAAACAGAAATCTTAACATTTCACACAGTTTTAACCATTTAGATAATAACTTCCTTAGCATTCAAAACAATTTAAATTTGAACATGACTTACAATTAGTGTTACAGGCAGTACAAGATTGGCCATCCGCATAATAACCATCATCACATCTCGTACATCCCCTGTTATAACACTCTTAACAATGATTGTCACATGAATTACAAGTATAATCACTTTTATAATAAGTGTGTCCATCCTAAATGCAAGTTGTACATTTACTAGAAGATTCGCATTAAGCACATTTTGAATTGCATTTTATACAATTTGTACCATCAAAATAAAAACCATCTACACAAGATGTACATTAGGTATTACTTGTACAATTCAAACAGGGTGAATTGCATGATGCACAATTCTTATCATCAGTTAAATACGAGAATTAGGTACAAGATGTGCATGTTGTTGAATTTTGACAGGTTACACATTATGAATTGCAATTATAACAGTTCTTATCTGTAGGGTCGATATATTAATTACTCAGGCAATTTATACAAAAATTAGATGAAGCAAAACAACTTACACATTCCTGATCGCATTCTTTACATTTATTTGAAGATACTACTTCATCCCAATCATAATATTAATGAGTTCCACAAGTACATGTTGTACATTCTGTGCATTATTCAGAACTTGTAAGAAGATATCCTTAATCGCAAGCTAGACACTTTCCAGATGATATTTAACAATTGCTACAATGATTTGTTGGGCATTTTGGACATACATTATTGAGGGCAAGGTAGTGTCCACTAATACAAGAAGTGCAGGAATCTTCTGTTGATTTGCAAGTCTTGCAAGGAGCCTTGCATAATTGACAATCAAATGTTCCTTAATAATATCCTTCAATACATTCATTACATTAGATATAAGATGATTATTTTACACATAATTAGTCTTTGCATTACCATGGACATTGTATGCATTCATAGCCATCTAAATAATATCCATCAAAACATGTTGCACATGTTGTACGTTTATTAATGAATAAACAAGTTGAGCAACCTGGAGGACAAGCTATACATTATTTTTTAGATAAATAAAATCCTTGAATACAACTTTTGCACTCATATTCTGAATTGCATTCAAGGCATGGAGGTGAGCATAACTAACATATTGCATCTGAATTGAAGAAATAGTTTGTTCTGCAACTTGTGCATTGATAACTATTTTCTGAACAAGTTCTACAGGACCAATCACATTCCAAACATCTTTCTTCATCTTCAATATAAAGGTGTCCGGAAGCACAAGACTAACAAATGGAGGCAGAACTATATGACAAACAACCATTGTAACAATATTAGCAAGTTCCATTAGGCTCTAAATGATAATCTGGACTGCAAGATGTACACTTGTTGGAGGAATTTAAACATGTTCTGCAATTTTCGTCACAAATTTTTCATTATCCAGCAGAATCAGCATATAAGCCTGGTAAACAAGTATGACATACAGTGTCACTTAAACACTTCATACAATTAGTTACTGTACA